CCTTCCATCCTTCAAATTCCCTAAAACTTCTTCCTTTCCAAGGACGTTTTCCCAACCAGAGACCCAGGTTGTGCCTGTAGTGACATAGTCCGTATAGAATGGAAGAGGCAAACCCCAGACCCTGCCTGGATAGACAGGAACCACCTGGATAGAGCACAAGAAAAAAGGTGGACACTCCAGGCTAGGCTGGTAATGCAAACCTGCATGCTGAGTAAGTTTCTGTGTTTCTCTGGGCTTCCATTTACTTGTATGTAAATGAGACATAATTTTTGCTGTTCTCATAAATCGGAGAAAATAAAGCTTCCTATATCCTAAAAAGACAAGAAATATACATACATACACAGAAAAGCTGGCAGTTGCTTATTTTGTTTTGTTATTTAGGCTACAAACCCACAGGGAAAGAATGTTTTGTTCATTGTACTGCAGCTGCCACTGAGTAAATGTCATCAGTAATGAGAACGTTGAGAACATATTGCAGCTGCTGCTCCTGTGTTTTCCAGACATTGCTCACCAACCAGGCACCATTTGGCCCCTAGGAGTGAGACCAGGAATACAAAGCCAAAGATCTGCTCCATTAGTGACAAAATCACTTGGCTGCTGAATCTAGACAAATATATGGAAGACCTACCCATTCACTCATTTAGCAAATGTGTATTGAGCACCTACTATGCGCTGCCGTTGTGCCAGCTGCTGTGAATACTATGGTGAACAAGTCCAGTATGGATCTTCTCTTACAGAGCTTATGGTCCAGAGGGCCATGACCATTGTCCCTTGTTTGAAGCTAGAACCATTGGGATGCCTGGGTGGCTTCAGTGGTCTGCCTTCAGCCCAGGGCGTAATCCTGGAGTCCTGGGATTGAGTCCCTCATCTGGCTCCCTGCAGGGAGTCTGCTTCTCCCTCTGCCTGTGTCTCTCTCTCTCTCTCTCTCTCTCTCTGTGTTCTCATGAATAAATAAATAAAATCTTTAAAAAAATAAATAAAAATTGGGATCCCTGGGTGGCGCAGCGGTTTGGCACCTGCCTTTGGCCCAGGGCGCGATTCTGGAGACCTGGGATCGAATCCCACGTCGGGCTCCCAGTGCATGGAGCCTGCTTCTCCCTCTGCCTGTGTCTCTGCCTCTCTCTCTCTCTCTGTGACTATCATAAAATTAAAAAAATAATAATAAATAAATAAATAAATAAATAAATAAATAAATAAATAAATAAATAAAAATCATCTTCTTAGGCCACAGTTGTTTGCTGCTTCCTCTTTTCTTGCATATGTCTATTCTTTGTTGGAAGAGCTCCAGTTGCTGGGAAGCACTGGTAGGTGACAGCTCAGGTTTTCTTCCCTGTGGCAGGAATGCCTCCAGCCATGCAAGGCAAAGTAGATGATGTCATTCAGAGCCCTTGTCCCTCAAGCTTCCACGTGATCCCTGACCTTGCTTGATCCTTTCTCGAAGACCCTGCTTCCACCTCCACCCTCTCTCCCCAGTATCTTAGGTCCTTCTGCTTCCAGGGTCTTTCTAAAGATATAATGCTGCACTCAGTTTCTCATAGATTCAAAGACTCTCTAAGGATGGAACTTCAGGCAACAGCTTGGGACATTTTAGGTTATAGGGCCTCTAATAATCCAGAGTGGGCCAAAGTTTATTAGCATATGACACATATGCTGTACCACAACGAATGCATTATAACACAGCACTTCTGGCAACACAAATACCCTCATAGATTAATGGATATTTACTATCCAAAGAGATGGAATTTCAATGGTCTAATAACAGGTATTATACCTGGCATGAGCTGGAAATCAATGCTACTCTTTTTCCTTTAACAAGAACATCTACTGAAAATTTACTTTTGGACATGGGACACTTTAACTGGATAATTTGTGCTAATAATCTTCTTTTTAAAAAAGACTTATTTATTTGAGAGAGAGAGAGCATGCATGTGAGTAGAGGAAGAGGCAGAGGGAGAGGGAGAGAACTTCAAGCACACTTACCAGTGAGTGTGGAGCCTGATGTGAGGTTCTATCTCAAGACCCTGAGATCATGACCTGAGCCAAAATCAGAGGTCAGCTGTAAAACTGACTGAACTATGCAGTTGTCCCTCAGAGGTCATATTCTTTAATCAGAATGAATGATACTATGGAAATCATAGACAATGATTGTGTATGCTATTAGTGTAACATTTAGCAATGTTACCAAAATGGTTACCTTTGTCTCAGAATATTCATATAAAGTTTTTACAACATCTTATACTAAAATAACAGAAACACCTTGGCTGAAATTGAACAAAATTGATAAACTTTTAGATGAAAACTTAGAAGGGTTCAAATGCAGCCCATAAAACCTTGACCAAACAAGCCAACTCACTCTGAGCATGCTGCACAGGCCATTCAAGCAGCCTTAGCAGTCATTAACACTTAGCATTGAAAAACTTAGCATTGAAAAAGAATATACAAAAATTATATAATAAATCATCCTTTCTAGAATTTAAAAAAATTTTAAAGTATTTTAAAAAGATTTTATTTATTTACTCATGAGACACACACACCACACACACACAGACAGAGAGAGAGAGAGAAGTAGAGACATAGGCAAAGGGAGAAGTAGGCTTCATGCAGGAAGCCCAATGTGGGACCCGATCCTGGGATTCCAGGATCACACCCTGAGCTGAAGGCAGACACTCAACTGCTGAGCCACCCAGGTGTCCCTGTTTCTACAATTAACAAAACCCTTCAGACACATGATTTGTTCTGGCTCATGGTCTGACTGTAACCCTTTAAAATACTTCAAGAAATCCTCTCTCTACACATATTTGGGAATCCATTAAGGAAATCTTTCTATTGCTTTTAGCTATTATTTTTTGTTATATATCTTATTAAACATGCTATTAAAATATGCACCCTCAGGCTTAAGAAGGAAAAATCATGAAAAGACCATTTTTTAAAAAAGATTTTATTTATTCATGAGAGAGAGAGACAGAGAGAGAGGGAGAAGCAGGCTCCATGCAGGGAGCCCGATGTGGGACTCAACCCCAGGACTCCAGGATCATGCCCAGAGCCGAAGGCAGGCACTAAACCACTGACCCACCCAGGGATCCCTAGACCATGCTTAACTATAGCCTCACTGTTCTTTTCTAGATGTGCCAAGACCCTATATTGAAGATTCCATATGTATTTTTGAATTTTTATCTGCCTATAGTTGGCAATGTGATTCTTATTTCATTGATATGACTGTTTTGCTGATTTGTTAACTTACCTTAATAGAATTTAGATTTAGTTTTTCTTATTTTTGACTTATTTTTATTAGATGTGACTTTGAATTGGAGTTTTAAAATTTAATCCTTACTTAGTTTTGCTTTATTTGATTCAGCCTAATGTCTCTAACTTGTTTGGATTTGATGTGATCATTGTTTTATGATGTCAATTGACATTTCATGTGGTTTGAGATTTCTTTGATTTTGTTTGATTCTCATTGAAAACATGATTGAATGACTTTTTTTTAAAGATTTTATTTATTTATTCATAGAGACACACACACACACACACACAGAGAGAGAGAGAGAGAGAGAGAGGGAAAGGCAGGCTCCATGCAGAGAGCCCGACATGGGACTCGATGCAGGGTCTCCAGGTTCACATCCAAGGCTGCAGGTGGCACTAAACCACTGCACCACCAGGGCTGCCCTGATTGAATGACTTGTATTTACCTCTTCCACATTAGCAAACTAGTACTGTGACCTGGTTTAAGACATATTTGACGCCTGCATGACCCTTACAGATTTTTTTTTAATTTATTTATTTATGATAGTCACACACAGAGAGAGAGAGAGGCAGAGACACAGGCAGAGGGAGAAGCAGGCTCCATGCACCGGGAGCCCGATATGGGACTCGATCCCGGGTCTCCAGGATCGTGCCCTGAGCCAAAGGCAGGCGCCAAACCGCTGCGCCACCCAGGGATCCCGACCCTTACAGATTTGTCATGAGGAATCACAGGGTGGAATGTAGAAAGCAAGGTGGAGTCATTCATGTCAAGCAGGGGACTGTGTCAAGCAGGGGACTGACAAGCAACGATGCCAGCAGCTAAGGGCATTTCAGCTAAGACCAGGTATCACTGAGACCAGCACCAGCTTTTGACACACGGAGGAGTGATAACCAATAGAAACAAAGAAGGTCTGCAAAGCTTCAAGAGTGATTAAATCCCTTTTAAAAAGAGAGGGTATTTGCAGCAAACTGTCAGACTCCTCAGACACTGACTTCTCTGTCTGACCATTTCAAAAACACAGCTGCCACTAAAGGTTCTGCCTGATTGATCTCTGGAGGAGATCAGAGATCCTTCTTGTTATGCTATGCTTGAACATAATAAGCAGTAAGTGCCAAGAGCTGACCTAGACTGGTCGATGGCCTTATCTTAACTGCCCACTCACAGATTGAACTTCATCTTTGGTTCCTTAACTTCCTACCCCGTTCTACGTTGTTTGTTGTGTGACTTGTCTTGTGCTTTGCTTTCTGTGACCTTTAAGAAGTCAAGTTAAACACGTGGTGAGATGTTACTGAGTCTAGAATACAGAAACTGCTTTATAATTACGTTAACCTTGCTTTATGTCTGAATAAAGCTGATATTGTGAAAAGGCACAATTCACGTGCGCCCCTTCATAGTAGCTCCTGACAGTTAGTTTCGTGTGTTCCCACGTTTAAAGGTATCGAGCAACATTTGTTTCCAGCGGAGAAGCCCTTGAAGGGAGTGCAGCCCTAGGGCCTGGGCCCAGGAGACAGAGCATGCGCAGTACACGGCTCTTGTGCTGTGAAGGGGACAGGAGGAAGGGAGAAGGTTCTTTGGGGTCCTTTAAAGAAAGAGCCACACACCTTGGAGCAGCCTACATCTATTTAGACTTTAGCCCTGCCCAAGCCAAGTCTCCTCAAAGTCCCGCCTCCTGAAAGCTCCGCCCCAACCTAAGTAACCACACCCGCGCCGGGTCCTAGGAAGCCATACTTCTTCTTCTTCTTTTTTTTTTTTTTTAAGATTTTATTTATTTATTCATGATAGACAGAGAGAAAGAGAAAGAGAGAGAGAGAGGCAGAGACACAGGCAGAGGGAGAAGCAGGCTCCACGCCGGAGCCTGACATGGGACTCGATCCCGGGACTCCAGGATCGCACCCTGGGCCAAAAGCAGGCGTCAAACCGCTGAGCCACCCAGGGATCCCCAAAGCCGTACTTCTTAGATACTCAGCAAACCCCCTGGAGGCCGCTGGGCGCGCTCAGCAGCTGGGACTGAGAACGCGGCAGGTGCAGGCGCTGCGGAAGAAGCGGCACTGGCAGGAGGCGCAGGGGTCACAGCAGGCGGGTGCCGGGGACTTGCAGCTGTTGCGAGTGGCCACGCAGGGGTTGGGCGGCGGGGGATGGGGACGAGCCACGTTCTTCATCGAAGCCTTTTTCTGCAGGGAAACGCCAGGGCTGCCCAAGCCGGCCACGCCCACCCCACCTGTCCTCACGTCTGTCTCGGAACTCCTTGGGCTGTCCATGGAGGCCCCAGACTAGACATCCCCACCCGCTCCCGACTGTCCGCTGGACTTCATGACCACAGGGGACCCCAGCGGATCCCTGCTTCTCCCAGTCATCCACCCCCTGCCTCCAAACCCATGAACACTTACTTACCTGGCTGGGCGCGCGGCCCACTTTTCTCCCTAGGTGATCCTACTCAGTTCTAGAGTTTTCACTATTTCTGTCTTTCCCTTTGCAGCATGTCTCCAATTTCTCATCAGTTCTGCCTTCACATTGAATCCGGATCCACCCACTTCTTCACCACCTTGCTACCCTGGGCCAGGGCCCTATCTTTGGCCTGCTGATCTAGCCCATTTAGAGTCCATCCTCTGTTGCACCAAACAAACGGGCCCCTCCGAAGACCTATGATGGCAACCACACTGGCTTAAAGCCCCCAGTGGATTTTCTTGGAATTTGGGATAAACCATAAACTTCACTTTAGCTCTCGAGACCCTCTGGTTTGGCCCCGCCCACTTCTCTGAGCTGAGTTTTTACCACAGTGCCTTGGTTCTGTGCACCCAACACCAGGAAATTAAGTTCCTGCTGCAGAGCCTCTGAAAGCGGTCAGCCACTTTCCTGAAATCATTCTTTGCTGTGCTCCAATACAGGTAGCTGTTAGCCATATGAGGCTACTGCATTTTGAAGGTGTCTAGGACAACTGAAGAACTGAATCTTCAAATTTTTTTAAATTTTAATTTACATTTTAAAATAGAAACAGTGTGAAAAATTTTTATTCTATTTTTTAAGATTTTATTTATTTATTCATGATAGACCTAGAGAGAGGCAGAGACACAGGCAGAGGGAGAAGCAGGCTCCACGCCGGGAGCCCGACATGGGACTTGATCCCAGGACTCCAGGATCACACCCTGGGCCAAAGGCAGGCGCTAAACCGCTGAGCCACCCAGGGATCCCCTGAAAAATTTTTAAACAATTATTTTTGGGGGCAGCCCCGGTGGCCCAGCGGTTTAGCGCCACCTTCCGCCCAGGGCGTGATCCTGGAGACCTGGGATCAAGTCCCATGTCGGGCTCCCTGCGTGGAGCCTTTTTCCTCTGCCTGTGTCCCTGCCTCTCTCTCTCAGTGTGTGTCTCTCATGAATAAATAAATAAAAATTAAATCTTAAAAAAAAAAAACAATTGTTTTTGTTAGGACTACAGTTGACTTTAACTATTAAAAATTAGTATCGGAATTGAGATGTACTGTGAGTGTAAAGATGCACCACCAGGTTTCAGACTTAGCACACACACGCACAAATGTAAAATATTTCACTAACTTTTTATATTGGTTACATATTAAAATGGTAATATTTTGGATATGTTGGGTTAAATAAAATATTACTAAAGTTAACTACACATACTTTTTAAAACTTTTTTTAATATGGCTAGTAGGAAATTTAAATTTATATATGTGGCTCACATTGTATTTCTATTGCTGCTTGAGATACTGAATTTTTCAATATTTAAGTGTTCCTTCCTCTGGGAGGGCTTCTGAGACCACTCTTCCCTTCACTTTTACTACCATGCTTTAATTCCTTTACAATGTTTTTCATTATTTGAATTTATTTTACCTATTTATTGGTTTACTTGCTGTTTGTCTATTTTCCCCACAAGAATGTAAACTCCATGACAGTGGGGATATATCTCTGTTCACTTCTATACTCCCCATACCTGGTATGCAAATATATTCGTCACTATGTATTCTTATATGTCAATCATCTACTTACTCTACAGAAGGTCTACAGAGGAGCAGAGACTCTCAAGATCACACTGTGCCAGGTCTAAGACAGGAATAATGTGTGCATTTCAACAATGCCTTAATCCAGTATTTCCCACATCATGGGAACCTGTACCATGGTAGTATGATTTTTAGGTGGTATATGAGTATTAAAAGACATTAAATCACACAGTGAGAAAGGATTCTTTTCAGTTTCCTTTAACTTTAAAGGCTCATTTGGTGCCAATATATCATTAATGCTTTCCCAAAACTTTCTAATCTGATTTTTAACCCAGAGAACAAGCCTGAGATTTAGAGTATTTGCCAGGCAACCCCATGCAGCTAAAATCCACTAACAATGTTTTATTTTCATTACACTTATTTTTATGGTTACCTTCTATTTATGGCAAGTGATTTATATATATTTTAAGTTTTAGTTTTAAACAAATATGTTAAATAAATAAGTGAAACTCAGTTACAGCAAAAATTGTGGGGGCCCCTGGCAGGTTCTGTTGGTGGAACATGTGACTTTTGATCTCGAGGTTGTGAGTTCAAGCCCCATACCGAGTGTGTAGATATTACTTAAAAATAAAAGCCTTCAAAAAAAAAATAAATAAAAGCCTTCAAAAAAATTGGGAAGTGGTTCTGAAACAATTGAACTTTAGAAGACATTGCATTCAGTCAAAAGAATGAGTGATGGTGGCATTTCAGTCAGAGGGCTAGCTTGTATAAGATGCTTTTTAGCAGGTAAACTATTTTGCTCAGTGAACCTTAGCTCTTTGGGCTTCTGTGGGGGGTCTGATTCAGGGGTTGAGGCCAGGAAGCCTTTAGATAGCTTTCAGCTTTTTTTGTTCATGGAAGGCTGGAAAATCTTTCATTTAGTTCCTAGCTAGAATTCCTTTTAAGTCCGGTCCCACCCCCACAATGAAAACTCAGTCAAAAAAAAGAAAAAAAAAAGAAAACTCACAGTCCTACCTTGGAAGATCTCTTCTTTTCTGCCTCTTTTCTGCTGATCTTTTTGGATTTCTTGTTCAGTGCTTCAAAGAGAGACAGAAGGAGCAAAGCCAGATGTTTTTGGAGGCCAGGAGCTGCAGTAAAGTGGGAGGAGCGGGAAGGGGCTCCAGGAAGTCTCAGGGTGGGGGATAAGAGGGGTTGGCTGGATGAATCGCAACTTGAGACTTAGGCCAACAGGTTCTTATTGGTTCTTATTAGTCTGGCTGCTGACCTGGAGCCAGGGACTGAAAGAAAAATGTCCTCTGAGGGAAGGCAAAGAGGAAATCCAAGAAGGCCCTGAAATATGGACTCAGTATCATGTACATGGAGGGACCGGTGTTTTCTCTATTCCTATTTTTCATTTGTCAGACCTATGGAGCCAGGCATCTGATTTGAATCCTGACTGTGCCATATAACAGCTGTGTTTCCTTAGGCAACTTACTTAATCTCCTTAAGACCCAGTTTTCTCATCTGCAAATAGGGTCCTGTAATATCCACCTTGCAGGGTTGTCTTGAGGATAAACAAGGTATGTTTATAAAGTGAGAAGTCTGGCACATCAAGGTTGATCAAAGGTGATAGTTACTTCCTGATATTATCTTTTCCTAGTGAGAAGCAAGGCAGTGAGGGAGATTGGTTTTGGATTTGGATTCTGGAATTTAAAACACCCAGGTCTGAATTCTGGCCCTGCCAGTTAAGAACTGTTTGATCTCATGTTAGTCAGTTAACTTTGCTCCGCCTCAATTTCCTCAACTGTGAACTAGGAATAAAAACAGTACTCACTTCACAGTGTCCAGCACACAAAGAGTGTATCTTTGTAAGAGAGTATCTCTTACTATTATTTTTATCAGATGAAGTTGAACTAGAAGATGTTTAATGCCAGGCTCTAATGTGCCTGATGTTTTCCCCTGAGCAGTCATTCTCAGTCCTCAACACTGAAAGGACTAATTCATCCCACACTTGTTTATATTCTGCCGCATTTTCAAGAATTTTTACTGTGGACAGTTCTGTGATTCAGTTTCAGAAATGCTAAGTTAAACCAAATTCACAGAGGGTCTTGACTTCTGGATTTCTCAGAGCCCCTAACATGTGAAGCTGCATATTAGATTGGTGGTATGCAGGGCTTTTCCAAACCATATGAGTCAAGGAATACTTTATTCATGTAGGATTACTTTGAAGAATAAGCACAAAGGAGCTCTGACGTATGTCAGTGAATCCTGGTATCAGCCTGGAGAGCATGTTTGACATCCTGTAGCCCTTTCTCATGGGCCAGAGTCCAGAGACTAGATACCAAGTCATGCTACTCACCTACAATAGAGACAGAAGGGAAATCCAAAAGGTTCACAGAGGAGTTGCTCCTTAGGCTCCTGTCATCCTTGGGCTTTTCCTCAGCCAGGTGGCTGTAGGCAGTGAGGAAGCACAGGGAGACCAGCAGGGTGGCCAGGAGTAAGTGGAAGATATTCATCCTTGGAGGCCTGAGTGGAACAGAGAAGGCAGTCAGGCTGATGCGCCAGGGGTCTTGATAAGAGGCCGTGCCCTCTGGCTTTCCTTGTATTTCTTTGGGGGTGGTGCTTTGACTCCATTTTATAAGTATCCCAATAGAGCTGGAGGATACCAAGGCTAGGGACAGGAAAGGGGAGCTGATGAAAGAAGAAAAAGAGAGATGGGGAGAGCAAGAAAGACAAGGAAAGAAGGGAGATTTCAGGTAAAGGATTATGGATCTGAACAAACCCTCATTGCTGTTACTACTCAACATGGGACACACACTTCCTGCTATTAATACAGGATAATAATGCTGACAGCAATGACTACCTGTGCAATTATGTTTCTCGAGAGTAATTTGTCCTTCCATTCTCTAGTGGTGAAGACTATTCTTTGATCTGTGGTATCACTGATGACAATTCCTTCCCTTATACTCATCATCTGCTTTAAGTTACTGTTTAGGATTTAAGATGAGTTTCTGTTCAGCATGGTGGATATAAAGAATCCAGAAAGGGGAGTCAAGCCACCTGGATGTACCTGCTATTTAAGTGGCTGTGTGACCCTGGGCTCATCTGGGCCTCTACTTTTTCATCTATAAAAAGAGAGGATAGGACTACATAACTTAGTACACATTATGAGGTGCAGAGTTGAAACTTACTAAAGATTTGTTTAATGAATGAAAGAATCTTGAGACCTTTCCTTTCTAAAATTCTATGAATCAGTGATTTCTGATTCTTGCTTCCTGGGCTTTGGAACAGGTTAAACAGTTGTACAAAGATTTTGTGAAGGCCACTTTTGTATCCTTAAGAGTTGAAGGATTTGCAAATGCATAAAAAATATGACTGAATCTGATTAAACTCTGGAAAAGAGGGCATGGAAAGCCATGGTTAAATCCAATTGGCTGGGCAGCCCAGGTGGCTCAGGGGTTTAGCACCGCCTTCAGCTCAGGGTGTGATCCTGGAGACCCAGGATCAAGTCCCACATCAGGCTCCCTGCATGGAGCCTGCTTCTCCCTCTGCCTGTGTCTCTGCCTCTCTCTCTCTCTGTGTCTCTCATGAATAAAAAAAAAATCTTAAAAAAAAATAAATCCAATTGGCTGTGTACCTCAGGAGTCTTGTTGATGTGTGTATGTGTGTGTGTGCGTACATGTGTATGTATGTATGTTGCACGAGCAAACAAGTACTAATGTATAAAGTATAAAGGCTCTAATTAAGGGAATATGGGAGATAACAGTATCCGGATCATCTCTGAGTATGATAAAATGAGTAGACAGTATATCAGTATAGAGTGCACAGTCAGTGTGCACCGCAGACATCCCCTTAGCTATGGCACTTAGCCTGATTTCTTAATCCTCTTGGGTCAAGGCCTTGGTCCCCAAAGCAAAGGAAAGGATTGTAATTTCCCGTTGATGAGGAAGGGCTAACCACCTATTGGGACAGAGGCATAGTGAGAGATAAGAACTGAGGAAGAGGCGAAGGCAGCAGAGTTTTTTTTTTTTAAGATTTTATTTATTTATTCATGAGCACACAGAGAGAGAGAGAGAGAGAGAGAGAGAGAGAGAGAGAGAGAGGCAGAGAGAGAAGCAGGCTTCCTGCAGGGAGCCTGACGTGGAACTCGATCCCGGGACTCCAGGATCATGCCCTGGGCTGAAGGCAGGTGCCAAACTGCTGAGCCACAGGGATCCCCAGAGTCTTCTTGAAAAGAGAGAACAATATTAGTTGCTGACCATACTAGCTGTTAATGAAGTACAGCCCTGATAGCCTGCTGGGGTTTTGCTAGTAGCATCAATGAGGAAAACCAGGGTTTCTGGGAAGCCAGCAAGTTGGCATTGCTGGGAATGTGATTGGGCTCTGTTGGTTGTAATAGTGGCCTCTACCAGTCCTGCTAACCACCAATTGCCAGGGATATGGGAGTTTGAGTGAAGCTCATCTTTGTGAAGAAAAAAAAAGTTACCAGAGGCAAAGTAGTGTTTAGTAGAAGCTTACCATGGAGGAGCATTTCATAAAGGCCAATGGTATTGGAGGCAGACGTGCCCCTGATCAATCTTTTGGAACAAAACATATACTTGGGAAGAAAGGGAAATTAAAGGGAATTTAAAGGAGGGAATCTTAGCCTTGAAACTGTCTGCAAACCTTTGCCCATATGCACATTTTTTTCTGGGGAGAAGGTCCATAGCTATTTCTGGATCTATAAGGGGGCCTCTGGCCCCTAAAAAGCTCAGAGCCCCTTCTTTGCAACCTGAATGGGGCTCACCCAGAGCCACAGGCATATGAGAACAGAGGATACTGTCAATTTTTTTTTTTTCTGTTTAGGCAAATAATTGAGTTCTATACTTGGGAAAGTGTGCTTGTTGGAAGGGACATATCACTCCAGCACTGGTATAAAATAAAGAAATGTAATAATGAAGCAAACCAAGGAATATAAACACTATAGTCCCATTTGTGAACAAATATCAAAACTTCCTCAAATGTAAATATGCTTACATATGCAAAGAAAAAGAGTGGAAGGTTACACATTAAAATTTTAATAATGAATACTTCTTAGGAGTGGAATTGAGGCTGGGGAGTGAGGTTGAGACATGCACTTCTTCATGTACTTCTGTATGTGAATTTTTTTTTTTAAAGATTTTATTTATTTATTCATGAGAGACACACACACAGAGAGGCAGAGACACAGGTAGAGGGAGAAGCAGGCTCCATGCTGGGAGCCCGATGTGGGACTCCATCCACCCCGGATCAGGCCCTGGGCTGAAGGTGGCACCAAATCACTGAGCCACCTGGGCTGCCCCGTATGTGAATTTTTCAAGAATGTTATTACACTGTAATAAAAAAAGAAAAGATGATAGAAATAAATACTAAATGCAACTTGACATAACATCAAAGGATTTAAGGAACATGGATGGAGAGTTATGTTTGATTTGTGACAATGAGGCTGTGGAATTTGTAGGGCCCTCTTCCGTCTTTGTGCCTCAGATTCAAGGCACAGTCTGCTCTCAGCACCTACTGCTCTTGTTACCAAATTTAGGGCTTTCTCATAGCATATCCTCCTTTTACCCCTTCTCTGTCCTGGAAAGCTCTCAAAGCCTTTTACCCTTCTGGTTCATCAGCTACTGTTTTGATATGGGAGAGGTAATGCACAATTTTTGTTATGGTTTTGTTTCTCAGCCAAATGAGCTATACCAAATACTGAAGTTCAGAGCCAGGGGAGAAATATCTGTCATTCGTCATTATCTAGATTCCCCACACCAGATGTTCAGTGGCTGCATAGGGATCCTACCATCCCACATATCTTTGACCCATCTGAGCAACAGACAATATGTATCCATGACAGGTGCCTGGCTGTGCTGAACTTAGGAGGCTCCATTAGGGTTATAGGCTCATTCCTTAAGGTTCCCCTAGGCTTATCAGTGATGGCAATATATGATATATCAATATGTTTTACCTACTTAGCTTTGTCCTAGAATAGCCAATCAAGCAACAAATATTTTTTAATGCCATGGGAGTTTTCTTCCTATGACAGTTGTGTTACAGGATTAGGCATACCTCTGAGAAGGGCAAGAGAAGGAGAAGCAAAGAAAGAAGGGTGAAGAGAACTTTGGGACATGGTTTCAAGAGAGCAGATTTTGCTGAGGGTAGGGATGGGACACCAAAAGGGAGGAAGGGACTAATGGAAAGGGCCTGAAGAAAGTCACTTAAGGGACTGAGCCTAAAATTCCAAGGGATCCTCTTTAATCAACCTCATCCATAACACATAGGGAAAACATTAGAAAGACAAAGCCAAAGGATCATGAGGAATTCACCAATCTCATAATTAGTTCTTGCTCTATCTTTGGTTAACCCAGTCCCAGAGGTTCAGCATCCCTGCTGAACTGCCAACCAAATCTACCCTAAGCCAAGCCACCCACACTGTTGCCTAGACAACTGTGAATGTCTCTTAATTGACATCCTGCCTCCTTTCTTGTCCTGTTTCATCTGTTCCCCCAAATAGTAGCCAGAGTGATTGGGGACAGGATGGGGGGGCATGATTCAAATCACACATCACCCCCTGCTTCCTTTAACAGCTTCCCATTGTTCTTGAAATAAAATCAAAATTTCCTGCAAAGCCCTGTTACTCTGGATTCATCTGATAGAGTCTTCTGTTTAATCACTGTATTCTAGATGTTATTGTACTCCTTTCTGTTCCTAGAACATGCTAAACTGTTTCCTATCTCAGAGACTTTACACCTGTCATTCTCTTAACCCTAAATGTTCATTCCTTGGCTTTGAGCTTGATTCCCTCAGTATTTCACCAGGCTGGATCACTGGCAAGTTTTCGATCTTTGTACATCACCTCTTTCTTTGACCACTTTATCTGAAAGCATCCTTTCTCCAGTTTCTGTCTATCCTATCATCCATTTCTTTCATAGCTCTTACAAATGACCAATTATCTATGTTTATCTTCATAATGGCTTTCCTTCGTTTGTAGAATTTATTTATTTTAAAAATTTTATTTATTTATTCATGAGAGACACACACACACAGAGGCAGAGACATAGGCAGAGAGAGAAGCAGGCTCCCCGCGGTAAGCCCAATGTGGGACTAGATCCTGGGACTCCAGGGTCATACCCTGGGCTGAAGGGAGACACTCAACCTCTGAGCCATCCAGGCATCCCTCGTTTGTAGAATTTAATCTCCCAGAGCATAGGGACATTGTTGTCATATTGATTTTGCTAAGCAATGCCTGGCACACAGTAGACACTCAATAAATATTTGGTGAATGACTGAGTGAATGAATGGGTAGCAAAGAAAAACAACAACAAAAAATCTTTAGATTTGCTCGTCCCCTCAGGCCAACAGGACAAGAACAGGTTACAAGTCAAATCTGATTGTGATTCAATGTCTTTTCCTTGGCCTTTGTTCTATCATACTGGGGCTTAGACAACTCTTAGGTTTCATCAGTATCCCTTATTTGAGTGCTAGGCTAGGACTCTGGCTTTTCTTAATATTTCTGATCT